ATGTACATGGGTTACATGTACTAGGGGTTAAAATGTACATGTGGAAACAGGAGCTAAGTGTTAAAATATATATAAAAGGAGCCAAAATTGAAAAAGAACAATTCAGCCTGACAGGTATATGTGAAAAGGAAGTAAGAGTGTGCCTCTCTTTAACCCTGGGGACAGTGCAAATATTCCAGACTGATTTTATGTTGAAGAAGTCATTTGTTAAAACAACCCAGCTGGGCCCATTCTTCACCCTTGCCAACTGGTATCATTAGCCACTTCCCAGCGTGGGGAATCCAGGAGGCCTCCCAGGCTTGGGCCTTGAGCCTCATCCTGCTGCTGCACCCACAAGTCTCCCAGCAATCTCCATTTGGACTGTGGTGGTAGCCTCCTCAGGGACTCCCTGAAATTGACTTACACTCTTGATGGAAAAACATCCTTCCTCAATCAAGGAAGATTGTTCTCTGTAGACAAATGCTCAGGAGAGTTACTGTGCCCCACCAGCAATGTCTGCTAAATACATCCATCCAGTGAAAGGTCCATATGGGAGCTGAGCTTGTGCTCAGGCCTTCCATGGAAGCGGAAGTACCCTGTCCTGGAGAATCACACCAAGAATACTTCATGCTTGAGGGCAGGGTTTGGGGGAGTAGCGTGAATTTAGTCTCAAAGGTGGGAAATAGTCATGGCATTGGTATACGGCTGTCAACTTACATTCAGGTTAAAATTCCAAAGCAAGACGCCCAGACAGTGCATAGGTTGAAATGGCAACTGAAATTGCTCAGAACCCTACCATTCCATCAAGTTTTACATAAAAATGGCTTTATTGAGTTACGATTGATGGATGATAAATTACACATACTTAAGGGTACAATTGGATAAATTTTGACATATGCATATACTCATGAAACTGTGGACACCACCAAGAAAATGAACACGCTCATCACTCCCAAAAGTTTCCTTGTGGCCTTTTGTAATCCATCCATCCGGCCTTTTCCCTCCCCGCTCCCACCACCATGCTCTCAGCCATGTCCCCACAGGCTCTTATAGATGAGTTGGCATTTGCTAGGAGTTTGTATAACTAGAACCATGCAATATAGATTCTCTTACATCTGTTTTTTTTTTCCCCGCACAATAGTTATTTTGAAATTAATCCATGCTGTTGCCTGAATTTCACGGTAGGAATGTACTAGTTTACCCATTAACTGTTGAAGGACATTTGGGTTGTTTCCAAATTTTGGCAATTTTGAGGAGCGTGGCTATGAATATTTGTATACAGGTCTTTGTGTGGACATGTTTTCATTTCTCTTGGGTTGATGGCACATCTACTCAGAGTATGTTTAACTTTAAAAAACCCACCCAACTGACTTCCAAAGTGGTTGTTTTATTTTACATTGCCAACAGCAGTGTATGAGAATTCCCGTTCTCTATTAGCCTCATTAATGCCTGATGCAATCAGTTTTTTAGCCATTCTAATAAATGTATTGTGGTATCTCATTGTGGTTTTAATTTGCATTTCCCTGATGGCCAATGACTTGAACATTTTTTCATGTGCTATTACCATCCAACTATGTTCTTTGGTGAAGTGTCTGTCCAAATCTTACACCTTGTTTTTAAAAATTAGGTTATTTACTTTCATACTTATTTACTATTAATTATTGAGAGTATTAATAATCATTAATAATCACTATTCATTATTGAGACAGAGTCTTGCTCTGTCACCCAGGCTGGAGTGCAGTGGCATGATTTTAGCTCACTGCAACCTCCACCCCTTGGAGTTAAGCAATCCTCCCACCTCAGCCTCCTGAGTACTTGGGACCACAGGCATGCGCCACCACACCTGGCTAATTGTTTGTATTTTTTGTAGGGTTGAGATTTAACATGTTTATCATGTTGCTCAGGCTGGTCTTGAATTTCTGAGCTCAGATGATCTATCTGCCTCAGCCTCCTGTAGTGCTGAGATTACAAGTGTGAGCCACCATGCTTGGCCCTCATTCTCTAATATGCCATTTGAAAGGCAAAAATGGACTGGGCACGGTGGCTCACGCCTGTAATCCCAGCACTTTGGGAGGCCGAGGCGGGTGGATCACGAGGTCGAGAGATGGAGACCATCCTGGTCAACATGGTGAAACCTCGTCTCTACTAAAAATACAAAAAATTAGCTGGGCATGGTGGCACGTGCCTGTAATCCCAGCTACTCAGGAGGCTGAGGCAGGAGAATTGCCTGAACCCAGGAGGCAGAGGTTGCGGTGAGCCGAGATCGCGCCATTGCACTCCAGCCTGGGTAACAAGAGCAAAACTCCGTCTCAAGAAAAAAAAAAGAAAGGCAAAAATTGTTAACTTTTTTGAAGTACAGTTCATAATTTTTTTTTTCATTTATGGATTGTAGTTTTGGTTTTCTGTCTAAGAAATCTTTGATTTAGGATCAATAGATTTTTCTTCTAGAACTTTTATAGTTTTAGGTTTAACATTTAGAGTTAATTTTTATATATGATGTGAGGCAGGGATCTAAATTATTTAAAAAATATGTATTTTAAGTTAGAGATAGGGTTTGGCTATGTTGCCCTGGCTGGTCTCAAACTCCTAAGCTCAATCTGCCTACCTTGGCCTCCCAAAGTGTGGAGATTATAGGCATAAGCCACTGCACCGAGCCTTAAATAATTTTTTGAATGTGGATATCCAAGTGTTACAGTACCATTGTTGAAAAGATGATTCTTTCCCTTAGCTGCCTTTGCATATCTCCTGAAAATCAATTGATGTTCATATATATGCATGGATCTATTGTTACACTTTTATTCTGTTCTATTAATGTTTGTTTTTATAGCACTATCACATTACTTTGATTACTGAAGCTTTGTAATAAGTCTTGAAGTCATTTCCATATGAATTTTAAAATCAGCTTGTCAATTTCTACAAAAAAACCTGCTGAAAATTTAAGTGGGATTGTGTGGGATCTAGCAATATTGAGTCTTTCTTTCTTTTTTTTTTTTTTTTTGAGACAGAGTTTCACTCTTATCACCCAGGCTGGAGTGCAATGGCACAATCTCAGCTCATTGCAACCTCTGCCTCCTAAATTCAAGTGATTCTCCTGCCTCAGCCTCCCAAAGTAGCTGGGATTAAAGGTATCCACCACCATGCCCAGCTAATTTTTTTGTAATTTTAGAAGAGATGGGGTTTCACCATGTTGACCAGGCTGGTGTTAAACTCCTGACCTCAGGTGATCCACCTGTCTCAGCCTCCCAAGGTGCTGGGATTACAGGCATGAGCCACGATGTCCAGCACCCCCCCACACCTTTTTTTTTTTTTGAGGCTGAGTCTTCCTCTGTTGCCCAGGCTGAAATGCAGTGGCACAATCTCAGCTCACTGTAACCACCACCTCCTGGGTTCAAGCGATTCTCCTGCCTCAGCCTCCCAAGTAGCTGGGATTACAGGCACAAGCCACCACACTTGACTAATTTTTGTATTTTTTTTTTTTTTTTTGAGGCGGAGTTTCACTCTTGTTACCCAGGCTGGAGTGCAATGGCGCGATCTCGGCTCACCGCAACCTCCGCCTCCTGGGTTCAGGCAATTCTCCTGCCTCAGCCTCCTGAGTAGCTGGGATTACAGGCACGTACCACCATGCCCAGCTATTTTTTTGGTATTTTTAGTAGAGACAGGGTTTCACCATGTTGACCAGGATGGTCTCGATCTCTTGACCTCGTGATCCACCCGCCTCGGCCTCCCAAAGTGCTAGGATTACAGGCTTGAGCCACCGCGCCCGGCCTGGTCTCGATCTCTTGACCTTGTGATCCACCTGCCTTGGCCTCCCAAAGTGCTGGGATTACAGGCTTGAGCCACCGCGCCTGGCAATTTTTGTATTTTTAGTAAAGATGGTATTTCACCATATTGGCCAGGCTGGTCATGAACTCCTGACGTCGAGTGATAGTAACCCACCTGCATCGGCCTCCCAAAGTGCTAGGATTACAGGTGTGAGCCACTGTGCCTGGTCATCAAGTCTTCTAAATGATGAATAAATATATTTCTTGTCTGGGCATGGTGCCCAGACCTGTAATCCCAGCACTTTGGGAAGCTGAGGAAGGAGGATCACTGGAGGCCAGGAGTTAGAGACCAGTGTGAGAGATGGGAAGTTCTTCTTCAAAGTTTATATCTTAGACTACATTATAATGAGCTGTAGGCTGGATGCAGTGGCTCACATCTGCAATCTCAGCACTTTGGGAGGCTGAGGCGTGTGGATCAAGAGATCAGGAGTAGCCGGGCGCGGTGGCTCAAGCCTGTAATCCCAGCACTTTGGGAGGCCGAGGCGGGTGGATCACAAGGTCAAGAGATCGAGACCAGCCTGGTCAACATGGTGAAACCCCGTCTCTACTAAAAATACAAAAAAAAAAAATTAGCTGGGCATGGTGGCGCGTGCCTGTAATCCCAGCTACTCAGGAGGCTGAGGCAGGAGAATTGCCTGAACCCAGGAGGCGGAGGTTGCGGTGAGCCGAGATCGCGCCATTGCACTCCAGCCTGGGTAACAAGAGTGAAACTCCGTCTCAAAAAAAAAAAAAAAAAAAAAGAGAGATCAGGAGTTTGAGACCAGCCTGGCCAACATAGTGAAACCCTGTCTCTACTAAAAATACAAAAAATTAGCCAGGCATGTGGTGGGCGCCTGTAATTCCAGCTACTCAGAAGGCTGAGGCAGGAGAATTGCTTGAACCTGGGAGGCGGAGGTTACAGTGAGCTGAGATCGTGACACTGTACTCCAGCCTGGGCAACAGAGAGAGATTTTGTCAAAAGGGGTTACAATCTTTTGCTCTATGTCCATTATCTGCTATTAGCATAAACATATACCCATGTGTATATTCTCTAAAGCAGCTACATCTTAAATCAGCTACCTTGACTCACTCCAGCATGTCTGACCAGAACGGGGCAAGCTCCAAACCCTGATGCATGCCATTCCTCATTTGGAAACCCTCCTGACCTTCTCCTGACTAGCTTCCTCTTCTTCCACGTCTTCTTTCCCCTTACCTGTTCAGGAAATTCCCAAGTTTTTAGCCAATCGGGTCAAGCATAGAATGTGAGGTCCTGTTCCGGCCAATGGAAACTGGACACAGCAGTGGGGTGACTGCGTCAGGTTATGAAAGTTACAAACGTCCCTGTCTCCTTGCTCAGGTGTGCGCTCCTGGCAAGCCTGCCGGTGAGCTGCCCGCTTCCTGCAGGAGGTAAGCTGGCCTTGCTGAGCCATCTGTTGTCTCAGCGTGGATTCTTCCCAACGTTATAAGCCCGTTTCCAACAACCAGCCTGGGCAACACAATAAGACCCTGTGCCTACAAAAAAAAAAAAGTAAAAAATAAAAAAAAAACTGAACAAAAAAATATATGTTTCTCAATTTAGGCATTTGATTTCTTTTTTATTTATTTGTGTTTTTTTTTGAGACCGAGTTTCGCTCTTGTTACCCAGGCTGGAGTGCAATGGCGCGATCTCAGCTCATGGCAACTTCCGCCACCTGGGTTCAGGCAATTCTCCTGCCTCAGCCTCCCAAGTAGCTGGGATTACAGGCACGTGCCACCATGCCCAACTAATTTTTTTGTATTTTTAGTAGAGACGGGGTTTCACCATGTTGACCAGGATGGTCTCGATCTCTTGACCTCGTGATCCACCCGCCTCGGCCTCCCAAAGTGCTGGGATTACAGGCTTGAGCCACCACGCCCGGCCTTATTTGTTTTTTTTTTTAAAGACAGGGTTTCACCATGTTGGTCAGGCTGGTCTTGAACCCTGACCTCAGGTGATCCACCCACCTTGGCCTCCAAAGTGTTTGGATTACAGGCGTGAGCCACCGCGCCCAGCCAGCATTTCATTTCTTGCAGCAATGTTTTGTTAGGTTTCAGTGTATGTCCTTTGTTCATCCTTTGTTAGGTTTACCCCAAATGTTCCATGTGTTTTAATGTTATTGTGTTATTATTTATAAAATTTAGGCCAGGCATGAGGTCAGGAGTTCAAGACCAGCCTGACCAACATGGAGAAACCCTGTCTCTACTAAAAAATACAAAATTAGCTGGATGTGGTGGCGTACGTCTGTAAAACCAGCTATCAGGGGGCTGAGGCAGGAGAATCGCTTGAACCCAGGAGGCAGAGGTTGCAGTGAGCCGAGATCGTGCCCTTGCACTCTAGCCTGGGCGACAGGAGTGAAACTCCGTCTCCAATAATAAAAAAAAAAAAATTTAAATCAGTTTTATGTCCTTTGAAACAGTGTCTAACAATGCCACATTATTTTTTGTTTTAAAAGTCGCCTCTTAGTAAGAAGGTTTTTCTTGCAGGTCAGTTTAAACCTCTTATCTATCCCAGTGCCTTGGAGCGGCTGCTGGGATCCCAGATGAACGTCCATGTGTGTAGCAGCGCACATGTGCTCACTCGGGACCTTCAGTCCAGGCTCCTACTTGCCCTCCCTTTTGGTGGTTTATCACAAACGAATATCCTCAACATATTCCACTGCTGTCAAATTTAACAAAATGACTGATACAGCAGCTTTGGGACTGTCACTTTCCAAAGGCAATAAATCACTTACAATGTCATGGCCTAAATAAAATAGATTGGTTACTCACTGCATACACATACATCTAAGTTGGCCAGGTGCAGTGGCTCATGCCTGTAATCCCAACACTTTGGGAGGCTGAGGTGGGCAAATCACTTGAGGCCAGGAGTTTCAGACCAGCCTGCCTCACATGGCAAAATCCCGCCTCTACTAAAAATACAAAAAAAGTTAGCTGGGTGTGAGAGGTACTATCTGTAGTCCCAGCTTTGGAGGCTGAGGCACAAGAATCCCCTGAACCCAGGAGGGGGAGGTTGCAATGAGCCGAGAATGCGCTACTGCACTCCAGCCTGAGCAACAGAGAGAGAGTCTGTCTCAAAATCAATGAACACATAAATAAATCTAAGCTATTGATTCCTTCAGGTTTCACTTAATGAGCCATGCAAGAGGATCATATTTTAAATGAATTGTAATTTGAGTTATTCACATGGTTTTAAAAACACACTCAGGCCGGGTACGGTGGCTCAAGCCTGTAATCCCAGCACTTTGGGAGGCCGAGGCAGGTGGATCACGAGGTCAAGAGATCGAGACCATCCTGGTCAACATGGTGAAACCCCGTCTCTACTAAAAATACAAAAAAAAAAAAAAAAATAGCTGGGCATGGTGGCACGTGTCTGTAATCCCAGCTGCTCAGGAGGCTGAGGCAGGAGAATTGCTTGGACCCAGAAGGCGGAGGTTGCGGTGAGCCGAGATCGCGCCATTGCACTCCAGCCTGGGTAACAAGAGCGAAACTCCGTCTCAGAAAAAAAAAACAACAAAAACCCACACTCTTGTTGCATACAAATAATCTGCATGGGATGTCTCCTTTCGCCTGGATAAGACATAAGCTCTTTACTTTGGAATTAGCAGAAGAATTCTTTGGCACAAGGCAGCGGACGTTCGTTATTACTGAAGTAAAGGCGTCTCAAAGGCCAGCGCTGCAGGTAGGCAGCTCGCAATACCATGAACTGCCCTAGTTAACAGTTTGTATAAAGTAATAGGAAAAACACTAAAATTCAGTAGAAAAATGGGCCCAGCGTGTAAACAGGTAATTCCCAGAAAGTACACAAGTAACTTTAAAAATCATTAAAAATGGTCAGCTGGGCCAAGCATGGTGGCTCTAAGGCCAGCCCTTTGAGAGGCTGAGGTGGGAGGATCACTTGAGCCCAGGAGGTCAACACCAGCAAGCATGGTGAAACCCCGTCTCTACAAAAAATACAAAGATCAACTGGGCATGGTGGTACACACCTGCAGTCCTAGCTACTTGAGAGGCTGAGGCAGAAGAATTGCTTAAGCCTAGGAGCTCAAGGCTGCAGTGAATCATGATTGTGTCACCGAACTCCAGCCTGGGTGACAGAGCGAGACCTTGTCTCAAAAAAACAAAAATGAAATGTAAATAAAATACAAATGGTCAGCCGAAGTGATAATCCAGAAATGCAAGCTAAAACAATATGAAACAGCATTTGGGCATTCTAATTAATGATAATAATGTCTGGGAGAGTAGAATTCGATTTTCATGCACGGTAGGAGGTGGGCAAATCAGCACAAATGTGAAAAGCACTTTGGAAATCCTTAAAATCCATAACCTTTGATCTAGACATTTCCCTTCTAGGAATCTATTTTAAGGAAAGTTTTAAGCAATAGAAAATTTTATATTAATAAAGACCATCAAGTTATTTATAATAGCAAATACAACTGAAGACAGCTTTAGGAAATTGAATAAAGAAGTTACGGTCCTGTATATCTATATAATCAAATATGATGCAGCTCTTTTTTTCCCACCTGGCAACTTTCATTTAAGATGCAGCTGTTTAAAGTGACGCCCTTGAGCCATCTTGCTTTTGACACAAACTCTTTTGAAACTTAGTTCTCCAACTTTCCGACATCGACCTAATACCTAGATTTCCTGTCTATACGTGTACCGTGATCAGTTCAGACTTTCTCCTGCTGCAGACAAAATTTAGGGTATTTCCAAGGTTTTTCCCTTTAAAACAGCACTCAAGCAAGCATTTCTGTGGATATTCAGATGTACACTAAAGACCAAGAAACATCTTGAAAGACAGCTTCAAAGCAATTCTGGCCTGGGGACCTCGTTGAGAGCAGCTGGGTCCCCACGCCAGTCCCACAAGCCTGCTGAGAGCCACACCCACACAGGGCCTTCCAGAACTGCAAGCAACGTTCACAGCCACGTTCATTATCACAACTCCCAGGACTTCAAATTTGTATCAACATTTTCATGTTTATCTTCCCTAAAGTCTCCACAAACAAATGCAGAAATTGCTCAGGGACAAGCTTATTTGCTCCTGGGAGGAGAAATCCATCCCAGGCGTGTGCAGGCAGGCTTGCCACAGGGGACAAGGAGCAAACACAAGTTTTGTCCAGGAGTAGAGTAACAAACGCCCAGGCCTAGCTGAAGATGCAGAGAACAGACAGCAGACGGGATAATGCAGTGTGGGCCCGGGCGGGACAGCACAGTGACAGCCTCGTAGCCCTGCATGTACTTTTGGTTGGTGTGTTTGTCGTTGGAGCCAATTGCTCTTCTGGACCCTCCACCACTGTCACTAATCCAAACCAGGAGGGCCAAGGAGGGAGGTGACAGTGGTGAGGGAGCAGGCTGGGTTTGGCTGTGTTCTTTTTTTGTTCTGACACAGAGTCTCACTGTGTGCCCAGGCTGGAGTGCAGGGGTGCCATCTCGGCTCACTGCAACCTCTGCCTCCTGGGTTCAAGTGATCCCCCTGTCTCAGCCTCCCAAGTAGCTGGGATTACAGGCACATGCCACCACATCCGGCTAATTTTTTTTTTTTTTTTTAAGACTCAGTCTTGCTCTTGTTTGTCAGGCTAGAGTGTAAACGGTGAGATCTCAGCTCACTGAAACTTCCACCTCCTGGCTTCAAGCGATTCTCCTGCCTCAGCCTCCCGAGTAGCTGGGATTACAGGTGTGAGCCAGTGCGCCCGGCCTAATTTTTGTATTTTTTGTAGAGATGGGATTTCACCAACTTGGCCAGGCTGGCCTCCAACTCCTGGCCTCAAGTAATCCATCCACCTTGGCCGCCCAAAGTGCTGGGATTATGGGCATGAGCCACCATGCCCAGCCGGTTTTGTTATGTTCTGTGTTGACAGCGGAACTGATGTTACAACAGGAGCCTGAAGAGGCAACTCTGTTAGTTAGACTCTGGGGGCAAGTAATAACACCAGCTCAGTAAGAGACAGCCTGGAGGCCGGGTGTGGTGGCTCACGCCTGTAATCCAAGCACTTCGGAGGCCAAGGCGGGAGGATCACCTGGGGTCGGGAGTTCAACACCAGCTTGACCAACATGGTGAAACCCCATCTTAAAAAAAAAAAAAAAAGAGCCTGGAATCTCCTCACCCACTTGGAGGCAGGAGGTGGTGAGAGCTTAGCATGAGGACAGCTGGATCCTCCTCACCTGTGACAGTCTTGTGAGCCTATTACAGGGTCTTCACGCTTCATCAGATATAAAGTGGGCAGTTTCACTGGAAGGGGCGCTCTGTGGGTTGGGGATACAGCAAGCTCTAGGTCATCCAGACCTCTCCGCATGGCCCCGTCCAAGCCATAGGACCCCGCGGAGTCTTCCTCATGGGAGTGCTAATGTTGCCGGGATAACAGTGCACAGTCTGTTACAGGTTGTAAACAGTAGGCGGGACCCAGAGCTGCACAGACTGGGCAGCCACACCATCATTGTTGGAGATTCCCATTCAGTAGAGTTAGAAACTCCCCAGTTACCTGAAAACACCTTAAGCCAAAATTTAAGACTTATTGTCTCCAGTGTATTTTTTTTTTTTTTTTTTTTTTGAGACTGAGTTTCGCCCTTGTTACCCAGGCTGGAGTGCAATGGCGCGATCTCGGCTCACCGCAACCTCCGCCTCCCGGGCTCAGGCAATTCTCCTGCCTCAGCCTCCTGAGTAGCTGGGATTACAGGCACGTGCCACCATGTCCAGCTAATTTTTTGCACTTTTTAGTAGAGACGGGGTTTCACCATGTTGACCAGGATGGTCTCGATCTCTCGACCTCGTGATCCACCCGCCTCGGCCTCCCAAAGTGCTGGGATTACAGGCTTGAGCCACCGCGCCCAGCTTCAGTGTATTTTTTTTTTTTTGAGATGGAGTTTCGCTCTTGTTATCCAGGCTGGAGTGCAATGGCGCGATCTCGGCTCACCGCAACTTCCTCCTCCTGGGTTCAGGCAATTCTCCTGCCTCAGCCTCCTGAGTAGCTGGGATTACAGGCACACGCCACCATGCCCAGCTAATTTTTGTATTTTTAGTAGAGACGGGGTTTCACCATGTTGACCTGGATGGTCTCAATCTCTTGACCTTGTGATCCACCCGCCTCGGCCTCCCAAAGTGCTGGGATTACAAGCTTGAGCCACCACGCCCGGCCCGTATTTTTTTTTTAAGACAGAGTTTCATTCTTGTCACCCAGGCTGGAGTGCAATGGCACGATCTTGGCTCACTCCAACCTCCACCTCCCGGGGTTCAAGTGATTCTTCTGCCTCAGCCTCTCAAGTAGTTGGGATTACAGGCATGTGCCACCATGCCCAGCTAATTTTGTATTTTTAGTAGAGGCAGGGTTTCATCACGTTGGTCAGGCTGGTCTTGAACTCCTGACCTCAGGTTATTCCCCCACCTCAGCCTCCCAAAGTGCTGAGATTACAAGCATGAACCACTGCACTTGGCTGTATTTTTTTTTTTTTTTTTTTTTTGAGACAGAGTCTCACTCTGTGCCCTGGAGTCCAATGGTGCGATCTCGGCTCACTGCAACCTCCGCCTCCTGGGTTCAAGCAATTCTCCTGTCTCAGACACCCGAGTAGCTGGGATTCCAGGCACCTGCCACCACACCCAACTAATTTTTATATTTTCAATAGAGATGGAATTTAACCATGTTGGCCAGGCTGGTCTCAAACTGCTGACCTCAAGTGATCTGCCTGCCTTGTCTTCCCAAAGTGCTGGGATTACAGGCATGGGCCACTGTACCTGGCCTCCAGTGTATTTATTTATTTATTTTTCCAAGATCAGGTCCAGGATATGCCAACATTGTAACAAAGTCAGAGGGTGGCACATCCCACACATGCGCGTGAACACCTAATCATCATGTTCGTGAGCTACAGGACCTCCAATGTATTTAAAAGCAGCCAGACAACCCAGCAAGTTTAACCTGCTTGCTTCCATCATATTCCAGGGCTGTAGCCTTTCACTGCCCACAAAGCCTTGCCTTCAATGGATGTGACAGTCCAGGTAACAACAAAACCCTTATTGAAGTAACAGTTTTTGCCCCGGGTGCACCCCCTTCCACACGAAATGCATTCTCTCTGTCGTCAGACCCACTCTTTGCAGAGAATAAACTTCAGATCCCGCTTTTCCTGAAGGTCTGTTGCTGGGCACCACTCCTGGTACCAATGTGTAAGGGTCAGGATTTTTAGTGAACAAAACCAAAAACTCAAAACAGAATTGACCATGTCTAATTTAAGCAGAAAAAGACAGACACACAAAGGATTTGCTAAAGACCTCAGGTAACTCACAGGCTCAGCCCTCCTCGAGAGGGGTCAGAGGAAAGGCGTTGAGGCTGAGCTTCCTGCGGCCACCCTCAAGGCCACACCACAGCCACAGCCACAGCCTCTCCTGAGACCTGAACTCGGGTGCGTGACTTTCCTGCAAGCATAGCTGAACCCCACATTTGCCCTCGGGGACTCACTCTTGCCACTGCTGCTGATCCCAGGAGCCAGGTGTCACTGCCATCACCAGTACCAGCAGAGCGGGGTCCTCGAGTAGAGCCTCTCCCATCAACCAGTCCCTGCCATGCCAAAGCTTACACAGGTGCATCTGAGGGGTGTGAGCTGGGAAGCTAGGAATCTGGGTTCACACGTTTTTTGTTTTTTGTTTTTTTTTTTGAGAAGGAGTAAGAGTCTTGCTGTCGCCCAGACTGGAGTGGAGTGGCACAATCTTGGCTCACTGCAATCTCTGCCTCCGGGGTTCAAGCAATTCTCCTGCCTTAGCCTCCCAAGTAGCTGGGATTACAGGCACCTGCCACCATGCCTAGCGAACATTTGTATTTTTAGTAGAGACAGGGTTTCGCCATGCTGGCCAGGCTGGTGTCAAACTCCTGACCTCAAGTGATCTGCCTGCCTCAGCCTCCCAAAGTGCTGGGATTACAGGTGTGAGCCACTGCGCCCGGCCCTGAATTCACACTTCTTGGTAAGGGCGACATAGTTGATAACATGGAAATTTAACTGAAAAAAGGCACCCAGAGGGTGATGGGAAACCTCACATGTGACAAATACCTACTGGCGTGATAGAGCTGAAATGGTCACATTAGTTTACTGGGTCTAGTTGTGTCAGGTGTTGTCATCCCTCAGAAAATAGCATGTGGGAGGGAGATAGCTAAGGGGTCGGGCATCTTCCAAGCAGTGCATTGTGAGAGTTCTGCGTCTGAGACAATTCATCTGTACCTGAGAATTCTTTTCTTTTCTTTTTTTTTTTTTGGAGACAGAGTTTCGCTCTTGTTACCCAGGCTGGAGTGAAATGGCGCGATCTCGGCTCACCGCAACCTCCGCCTCCTGGGTTCAAGCAATTCTCCTGCCTCAGCCTTCCGAGTAGCTGGGATTACAGGCGTGCGCCACCACGCCCAGCTAATTTTTGTATTTTTAGTAGAGACGGGATTTCACCATGTTGACCAGGATGGTCTCGATCTCTTGACCTCGTGATCCACCCGCCTCGGCCTCCCAAAGTGCTGGGATTACAGGCGTGAGCCACCGCGCCCGGCCCTAGAATTCTTAACTAATGCATCTCAAAGTCCCAGAGTTCTAATACTATATATTTCTTTTCATGTAAATGCATGATCCTGAAGCCAGGTGTGGTGGCTCACACCTGTAATCCTAGCACTTTGGGAGACTGAGGTGGGAGAATCACCTGAGATCAGGTGTTCAAGACCAGCCTGGCCAACATGGTGAAATCCTGTCTCTAATAAAAATACAAAAATTAGCTGGGCGTGGTGGCACATGCCTGTAATCCCAGTTACTCGGGAGGCTGAGGCAGAAGGATCGCTTGAATCCAGAAGGCAGAGGTTGCAGTGAGCCAAGATTGTGCCATTGCACTCCAGCCTGGGTGGCAAGAGCGAGAGGAAAGAAGGGAAGGGGGAAGGGAAAGGGTAGGGGTACGGGGAGGGGAAGGGGGAGGAGAGGGGAAGGGGGAGGGAAAAGAAAAGAAAAGAAAGAAAAGCAAACTACCCTGTCCATTATCAGCGTCACCTTCATGGAGCATTTAGTTATGGGAGTTTCCGTCGATGGGGCAGCCAAGGTCAGGAGAATGACGGGGGAACAACCCGGAACACTGAGCCAGGAAGCTTCCTGGAGACCCACAGCCGGGATTCCAACTGTAGGCATATGACACATGTGCCTTCATGACATTACAGTTTCTGGGAAGCATGAAAGGGATGAGAGAGATGAATGCATGACCTCACAGAAGCAAGGGACATTCAGTGGCAGGGGTCAGTTTGGTGAGGATCCAGAGCCACAGAGCAGCCACTAAGAAACCTTCACCGAAGGCCACGCGTGGTGGCTCACGCCTGTAATCCAAGCACTTTGGAGGCCAAGGCGGGCAGATCACCTGAGGTCGGGAGTTCAAGACCAGCCTGACCAACATGGTGAAACCCCGTCTTTTTAAAATAAAAAAAAAAAAATTGCCGGGCTCGGTGGCTCAAGCCTGTAATCCCAGCACTTTGGGAGACCGAGGCGGGTGGATCACGAGGTCAAGAGATCGAGACCATCCTGGTCAACATGGTGAAACCCCGTCTCTACTAAAAATACAAAAAAATTAGCTGGGCATGGTGGCGCGTGCCTGTAATCCCAGCTACTCAGGAGGCTGAGGCAGGAGAATTGCCTGAACCCAGGAGGCGGAGGTTGCGGTGAGCCGAGATCGCGCCATTGCACTCCAGCCTGGGTAACAAGAGCGAAACTCCGTCTCAAAAAAATATAAATAAATAAATTAAATTAAATTAAATTAAATTAAAATTAAAATTAAAAAAAATAAAAACCTTCACCGGAAAAGAGTGGAAACAAAACTCCAGATCCCCGTCCAAGCGACCATACCCTAAAATCGCTGTGGGCTCCCTCAGTACACTTACAGATGACCAGTGACACGAATGTTAATATTTGATGGCCCTAACTTGCACTTCTAAAACTTCTAATGAATCTCACTAGATGCAAGCTGGCAAGCATGCTGGTACAAAAGAGAATCGCAGCTCCTCCCAATGTCTGTGTGCCAGCTCATCTGGGATCCTGCAACGATTTGCTCTAACCGTCTCAGCTCCATAAAGGGGCCAGTAATTAGCATTTGGAAGCTAAGCCACACTTCCCCACTGACTGCCATTTGTGGATTGTTAATTAATTAATTGATTGATTAGCAGCTTGCTCTAGCACTGGCTAGTAAAGTCCCCTTCAAGGAATTCTCCCCAGTTCTCCCCTCTCCCCACCTCCACACACCCTGGTAGAAGGATTTCCATAGCATCCTTCAAAGTAGGGCGATACCTTGGACATTGTTTCTCTAGCTCACATGGCACCCTGCACACAGAAAAGATTTATAGAGTAAATGGATGGAAGATTGGTGGATAGATTGATAGATATGATCCTGCTGAGCAGACTAGGAAAAAAAAAGATTGATAGATATGAAAACGTATGATATAATTCCTATTTTTCTTTTTTTTTTTTACTGGGATGAAGTCTCACTCAGTTGCCCAGGCTGGAGTACAGTGGTGCAATCTTGGCTCACTGCAACCTCCGCCTCCCAGGTTCAAGCAATTCTCCTGCCTCGGCCAGGCAGGAGCCACTGCGTCTGGTTGTCTGTGTTCTTAATAGCCGAGCACATGTATCCATCCTTTTTTTTTTTTTTTAAGAGATGGGGTTTTACCATGTTGGCGAGGATGGCCTCAATCTCTTGACCTCGTGATCTTCCTGCCTCAGTCTCCCAAAGTGCTGGGATTACAGGTGTGAGCCACTGCGCCCAGCCATGTATACATCCTTTTAATCTTTGTGGGCCTGTTTCCTTATCTTTTTGTTCCTATATATTTATTTATTTTTTGAGATGGAGTCTTGCTCTGTTGCCCATGCTGGAGTGCAGTGGTGCAATCTCAGGTGACCGTAACCTTCGCCTCCTGGGTTGAAGCAATTCTCCCTGTCTCAGCTTCCTGAGTAGCTGGGATTACAGGTGCATGCCACCATACCTAGCTAATTATGTATATTTTTGGTAGAGATGGGGTTTCATCATGTTGGCCAGGCTGGTCTCAAACTCCTGACCTCATAATCCACCCTCCTCAGCCTCCAAAAGTGCTGGGATTACAGGCGTGAGCCACTGTGCCCGGCCTTCATTTCCTATTTTTCTCTCACATTATGCAATTTTTTTCTAAACTTAGGTCAGAAGAGAATTTAAATATTATCCAACCTAATTTCATTTTAAGGATAAGGAAACAGGCCAGGTGCGCCTGTAGTCCCAGCACTTTGGGTGGCTGAGGTGGGTGGATCACTTGAGGCCAGGAGTTAGAGATCAGCCTGGTCAATAATGGCAAAAATCTGTCTCTCCTAAAAATAAAAAAATAACTAGCCAGGTGTGGTGGCAGGCACCTGTAATCCCAGCTACTCGGGAGGCTGACACAGGAGAATTGCTTGAACCCAGAAGACAACGGTTGCAGTAACCTGAGATTGCACCACTGCACTCCAGCCTGGGCAACAGAGCAAGACTCCGTCTCAAAAAGGAAAAAATTCCCTCTTTGAGAAGGACGCAGTTGAAGGTTGGCAAGCAGCTCGAATTCGCCTGCTCCTGCTCCTCACTCACCGCTGCTCGCTCTCGCCCAGCAACAAGTCGGTCAGGAGGCCCCACAGCAGCCGTGGCTTTTAAAGATACCAGAAAAACACCCGTGGAGCCAAGGTGGAAATTCACCAAATTCGTATCACTCTAACGAGCCACAAGGTGAAATCCCTGGAGGAGGTGTGAGCCGACTTATCAGAGGAGCAAAGGAAAAGAATCTCGAAGTGAAGGGATAGGTTGGAATGCCCACCAAGACTTTGAGAATCACTGCAAAAAAACTCCTTGTGGTGAAGGTTCCAAGACATGGGATCATTTC